GCATTTTGAAAAAGTCCCCCAGGTGATTTAAAAAATGCTCCCTCCATCCCCAGCCCTATTTTCTTTCTTCAGAGAATCGCTTTGCCTGGAAGCTCATCTTTCCTCTCCCAAATGTCACCACTCAGAAAGTGATGGTGAGAAAGATGTGGTTTGTCAGGCAGAGCTGGGTCAGAGCATCTATCAGACAGACCAGACATCCTGAGCTCCATCCTTCATGGGCAGATGGCCAGAGAGCAGGCGGCATTATTCGTGCAGCTCCATTCTTTGGGTATCCCCCCTTCAGACGCATAAGAATGAGAATGGAATCAGTGAGCTGAGTTTTGTTGCTATGTGTTGTTTTGTTTAATATCAGCACACCATACTGCTGCCCAGCCCAGCACCAGCCACCCTTGAGGAGGCGGCCCTCGGCCGGCCACCAGGGGGCAGCACAGGCACAGGTGCAGTGAGGGGAGGGAGCCCAACACACCAAGCCCAGCCCTGTCGCTTAGATACCCCTGCACCCCTGCACCCCTGCACCTAAAAAGAGCTTGGCTCATAGGGGGGACTCAACAAATACTTGCTAAACTGGAATCTATGGAAAAGCAGCAAGTAGACCAAAGAAACAGCAGTTAAGGGGAATTCATCAGTTTTCAACTCCAGGGAAGAGTACGGCTGCAGAGAACTACAATTTAATCCTGAGCAAACTGGTATTAAAGCTAAAGGACAAAGTAAAAGCATTCATTACATGCTAGGACTTGAAAGATCATCACCCACGGGCCTTCTCTGAGCAGACATACTCGAGTGTTTCTAACAAGAAGAAAAATGAGCCTAAGAAAGTAATCAACCAATAGTAAGAAAAGAATAAACCAATAAGGCTATATAATTAGTAGTTAAATCTAAAAAGGTTCTGATAGCATGATGTAAAAAATACTTAATAAAACTAAATTAGAACTAAAACCCCAAATGATTTCAAAAGGGTGGGTTTGGTTGGGTTGGAGAAATAAGTGAAAGCAGGATAATATTGGAATTGTATCGAATCAATAGATGAATTTTCAGGGAAAGTATGGAGATCCAAATATTGGCTTAAATATATGTTAAAATGTAAGGATAATTGCTAGGAAAAAAATAGAAATAGAATGTATACTGTCCAAACTATTGGAGGAAAAAATTCAAGTAATTCGAAATCAGTTAAAACGGATGGTCAAACTGGGGAAACAAACACAGATTTTTTTAAGTAGGACACATGAAAACCATAAAATGAGATTATACAAATACATCCTAGTCATAGTAGTAATCACAAGATATGGAAATGAGTTAAATTTCCTTATTGAAAATGATTTGCTGGTTGGGTAAAATAAAACCCATGATGTGAGAAGGTTGGACAGCTAGTTTTAGAGTATAAACCTAGGAGTAAAATTCCTGAGTCAGAGGGGACTATTTGGTTTTCCTAGATGCTGCCTCACTACTTTCCAAATTAAATGTATTAATTTACCTTTAGAGTAGTGTTGGAGTTCCTGTTGCCAAATCTTGATATTGTTAGACTTTAAATTTTTTGCCAGTCTATTGGGTAAAAAATGTCCATTATCTCATTTTCATTCTTTTTTTGTGTTACCTTGCTTACTAATGAGGTGGAGCATCTTTATCTGTGTTTTTTGGCTTTTCTGGTTTATTAGATGACTGGCCTCTTCTTGTCATTTGTCCACACGTTTATACATGTTGGCCTGTTCTTATCATTTGTACAATTTCTTGATAAATTCGGATAATAGCCTTTTATCAGCCATATGCATTACAATATCTTCTCGTCTTTGATGCATTTTTTCATTTAGTTTGTGGTATTTTGAACTCTACAAATTTTAATCTTAATGGGTTCTACTTATTGTGACTTGCTTATGAAATCCTTTTGTACTCTGAAGTCATAGCCAGATTCTCTCAAACCCAAACATTACTTCAGTAGGAATGTCTTCTCCGATGCCTCAGAGTAGACCATGTCCCATTGTGACATGCACTCATGATACTTTTTTCTCTTTTATTGCATTTATCCCAGCTGTAATCATACATTTATTTGTGTAATTGACAAAAAGTCTGACTCTCTCATGACAAGGTAAGCCCCAAGAGATCTCAGATTATGTCTTATATTCCTTTTCATCATATTATCTCCAGAGCTTAACATAGTTTCTGTCATGTCATAACTCATGTTATTCTTATTGTATGCAAGCATTATTCTAGGACACTGTATGTACACCTTTGGTACTGGCAAACACATGAGGCAGGTACTATATTATCCACATTTTAATGACATAGAAATTGGGGCACAGAGAGGCTAAGTAGTATATCCAGTGTCATAGCTAGTGGACAGCAGAGCCAGGATTCAAACCCGGATGGTCTGGCTCCACACCCTTTGCTCTCAAGCTTTATTGTGTACTTCCTCAAAGGGTAGGAACTCAACAGATGTTTACTGGGTGAGATGAGTGACAAATCCACAGTTTTAGTGTGGTTCTCCAAACAGAAAAATCATGTCAGGAAAAAGAAAAATGGTATATTTGAATAAGAAAATATAAGCTGCATCTAGAAGTTAAGTTATTTCTAACAAAATAACATATATTCTTTGATATACTCATGGAGCAGTACCAAAAATGTACTATCTACTGTGACTCAAAGAAAATCTCAGTAAATATTAAGAAGTTGAATGTATGTAAATAAATGTACTGGCCAAAGGCAATAATAGTGTAAATTGACAACAGAATGAGGTCAAAAAAAATCCCCCCAAAATCCCTCTTTGTTATCATTGTTCTTCTTTTAAGTATAGTTCACAAAGTGAAATGTGCAAGTATTCAGTGAATGTTCAAAGAATGTCTACCTAAGTGACTGTCACCGATCAAGATCCAGAACATTCCCATCATTCAAAAACACTCCTCCCACCCTTCTCCAGTCATTCCCCTAACCAGAGACAATCACTGTCTTGCTCAGCAGTATTTTTGAGATGCATAATGTTGCTTGGTTTGTATATCAGCAGTTCATTCCTTATTTATTTCTTTGTTTCCTAAGTAGTATCTCTTTGTGTGGGTATATTGCTGTTTGATAATCTAGCTTTCAGTTTGGGGTTATTGTAAACAAAACTAATGTAAACAGTCTTGCACAAGGATTTTTCTGAATATAAGCATTCATTTATCTTGGGTTTATACCTAGTCATAAAATCTCTGGTTTGTAGGGTAGGGACATGTTTAGCCATTTTATACTTTTGTTAGCAATGATTGAGAGCTTTTGCCCTACTTTCTAACAAAGATTTGGTATTTTACATCTTTTAACTGGCAGCTATTTGGTGGATGTCAAGTGGCATCTCACTGTAGCTTTAATTTGCATTTCCCTGATGACTACTAATATTCAGTATCTTTTCACATATTTACTGGCCATTCAAATATCTTCTTTTGTGAGTTGCCTGTTCAAATTTTTGCCCATTTTATAATGGATTTTCTTTTCATTATTGATTTGTAGGAGTTCTTTATATATTCTAGACAAGTCTAGCAGGAAATTTTAACCTAAACTTTTAAATAACTCCCAAACCAGAGAAAAAAATCTTATTTTGTAATGAATAATTATTTTTATAATCTAAAGTTGTATTTTATTTGTAATCTGAAATTACAAACAATTTGGGAATAAATGAAAGTGTGAACACAGTATTAAAACAAAAAGCTAGTGGGATGCATGCAAAATGATATTTAGAGGACAATTTATAACTTTAAATGTCCTAATTAGACAAAAGAAAGATTTTTTAAAAGGAACTAAAGTTATGAATCAAGAAGCCAGATAACAGATTATGAGGTAAACTCCCAGAAAAGTAGGAAAGAATTAGTAAACACGAAAATGCAGGGGTTATGGAGTAAAAACAAGGAAGAAAAATTGATTTAAGGCTTTGCAACTCCAGTTATGAACATGAAAATAATGAAACATTAGTAATAAGAAAGAACATCTGTTCTGTTAAGAGATTTAAAACATAAAAGCGTACCATGAACAACTTCATTAAATAAATTTGAAAATCTGGATTTAAAAAAATTGGTGATTTCCTGGTAAATATAAATTCTAAAACTGACTAAAGAGAGATAAATGATTACAGAAACATTTAAAAGTTAGTCAAGATGAGTCATAAAGCTCAGATCACCAAGAAAAAAATAGTTTGCGGTTATATCACTTCTTCATAACACAAAGTAAGCTTAGAAGCTTCTCCACAAGGCTTGCATAACCATGTAACAAGACTAAACAAAGAAAATTACAGCTCAATCATGTTTATGAACACAGATGCAAAAGTCCTAAATAACAGCAGAGCTAACTAAATCCATTTGTATCCTGAAAGAATAATACATTTTAACGAACCAGGGATTATCCTTGGAATGCCAGGATATTTCAGCATGAGGAAATCTATTAGTGTAATTCATCTGACCAAGAACTGAGAGGAAGATCATGACATCATCTTGATAGATACAGACAAAAAAAATTAATGAATTCAACAAAGACCCATTTGTGATTTAAAAAAAACATTTAACAAAATAGCATTAAAATAAAACAGCCTCATTTTAAGAAAGGAAAGAAACCCCTCTCCCAACATCACATTCAGTGGTGAAGCACTAGTCTGGAATCAGAAACAAAGACAAGAGCTAACACTATTATTATTCAGTATCTTAGCTAGTGGAATGAAACAGTAAAAAGAAGTAAAGCATATAAATATTGAAAAAGAAGAGACAAAACTATTTTTACTTGCAGACAATGTAATTGTCTTTTTAGAAAATCCATCCAAATCAACTGAAAAATGATTTGAACTAATAAGAGGATTCAGCAAATTGGCCAGATACTGTACCCTATTAATAAGCAATGGTGAAAATGCCATGAGAAAAATAGATGACATTTATAAAACTCTAAGCTACCCAGGAATAAACTAAATAAAAAATGTATAAGACCGACATGGGGAAAAAAACCTGAAACAATTTCCAAGATTAAAGAAAACCTCATGAAGTTCATTAGGTTTCAGAGTAGGGGGAGGTGCACCCACATGGTAACATTTAACCAACGACTTCCCGTCAAGACTATGGTTTTACCTTTCCTTATATAGGTTAGCAATTCCATCCACCTGTCAAAATTTGAAATTATTTTAGCCCTTTTCTCTGATGATTTCAAGCTGTTTTTTATTTTAATTTGATTTGTAAGTTTTCAAAATAAAGTTAACCCTCATAATGACCTCTGGCCATTTATTGACTGGTCAGTTTAAGCATGTCTTAAATTGTTGTCCTTTCTGGAGAGAAAATGGGCTTGAAAGGTTAGCTCTTGGCTGATCTTAGGGCAGCAGGAAAAGACCGGGATTTGGTAACACCAGTGATCATGGAATCATGGAGTTAATATTGTCAAAGAATACTGGGGTTTAGGGGATATCTGTTCTCTAGTTCTGCTGAGGTATTTTCTGAGTATCTCATGAGGACTGGGTTCTCGTGCCATCCTCTTCATCCCAGGCTCAGGCTGGCATCGTGGAGGGCAGCTGTCAAGCTCCCTAGGTTTATGTGTGGGAGCTGCCCATTACTCTTCATGTCCCAGCAGACATCTCGGGGACACCAGGATACATCCTGGGGGAGTTTCCACAGGGGCTGTGAAGTTCGGAGGGGGAAACAGTAAAAGAGGCTCTGCTGTTTAAGGTTTTGACAACACAGGTAAGCAGCCTGAGTGAAAACAGGAGATGGATGCCAGCCCCAGACTTTGAATGTCTGGGTGTCAGGATAGAGAAAGTTCTTGAGAAGTTGGCAGCTTGTCTTGAGTTATAGAAGCACATGCCATTCTAGGCCTGGGGTGACCTGAAAACCAGTGTAAAATGAAACAATTCTAACAACTTGGCTTCGGATTCCAGGGCAAACTCCTGAACACATGGTGGCGGGACTGCTCCTTCGTGCTTGTTTCTTCTGCTGCTTTGTCCAGGGAAGGCTGATGGCAATGCAGTCCAGGCTCATGAGCCTGGAAGTGAGGTCCCATTGGGAAGTCACAACTGCCTGTGGACCTGCTCTTCTGCTAACTGCCTTTCTCTGCAGGGTAGTGGAGAGGGTGCAGCAAGGTGATCTCCAGGTGGGGGCAGCTTCTCTCAACTCCACTCCCACCCTGAGTGCCTTGCAGACACTCGCCTGCCTCCTTCGGACCCACTGTGACATCTGAGATGACACAGGCAGCAGTAGCAGCCACAGGGTGGGTAGTTTTTTGTTTTTAGAGCTTAAGAACAACAAAGTAGCCTGTTTGACTAAATTTGAGAGAAGCTGGCCTGCTCAGCTCTTTTTCTCCTTTACAATTAGGAAGTGAGTTTTTGTGTTCTGATCTGGAAAGCCCACATCCCCTGCCCTGTCAGGTGCAGCCAGCAGTCCTCCAGTCTGAGTGTCTGACACACACGCCTGTGTGCCAGCCAGGCCAAGCTCTCGGGGGACCCTGGTACAACGGGCACCCTCTCTGCTCCAGGTCTGGTTTCTGTCTGATCTGGAGTTCATGGCTTAGCTCTGCCTGCAGTTGAAAGTTTGGACAGTAACATGCATTGACTTTGCTGGAAGGTACCTTGCATCCTGTGGGGAAAGAGACTGAGTAAGTTAATTGCAAAACATGGTGATGAAGTCTACGCAACAAAAGGATGCCTTTTATCCAGTTGTCCAGAGTCCTTTTAGGGAAAGGGAAACCGCCGACCCAACACCTCAAGTGCATACTTCCAAGCAATACATCCAAGCACTCTGATATTTTAAAGCCACAATTCAAAATTATAATCATGTTAAAAATCCAACAGGTTTGGCAGTAATGAGGTTGTTTTTTTTCTTTTTCTTTAAAGAATTCTTATTTTGCATTTGACCCTTCATGTCCCTGCTTCACCTTCTCGTTGGAATAGAAACTGTCAGACTGTTCACGGGCGCTGACATAAGGCCTGTGTGGTCCGGCCGCTCTGGAAAAGGGGGAGACTTGGGGTTGGTTGGTTTGTTGTTTTTGTTTTTCTTGTGTTTTTTTTTTAATGAAGGTATCATTGATATACACTCTTATGAAGGTTTCACAAGAAAAAAATGTGGTTACTACATTCACCCTTATTATTGAATTCCACCCCCCATACTGTATTGCAGTCACTGTCCATCAGTGTAGTAGGATACCTGTTTGTTCTTTTTTTTTGTTTAATTCTATGTCTTCTCTGGGTGTATTTGGAAAGCCTATTGAGTGGAATTCAGTATTTTTGTAAGACTTTTAAAAATCAAATATCATAGGATGAAAAGGAGGCCACCAAAAGGAAGTACTGTTCTGCATAAAGCTGATATTCCCTGACTTTGCCAGATTTTGTTCCAGAGGTTAGTAACCTTCTGTTTCAAAACAGGAAAGAAGCTGAATCACAGGGAGTCACCTACACACAGGCTTTGCTAGATAATTATTCAGCTGACAGTTCAGAGAGCTTAACAAACCCTGCTCCCTGGTCTCAGAAGACTGAATTCACTATGTCTTAAACAAGGAAAAAAATTCCCCACTGGGGTTTTCAGATCTGAGTGCTTCCTTTAACTATGTGGTTTACCTGTTTAAGGACTTGGCAAAGAAAACAAAAACGCCTTTCTTAACACTTACATCTCAGGCTTTAATTATTCCTATTTTTGATCTTCTAGCTGTAGATCTAGAATTAAACAGTCTTAATGTGGGTAGTTGCTTTTTTTAAAAAAAAAAAAAGCCTACTTCAACTTGTAGACTAAAAAAATTTTTTTTTCTGCATGGACAGCTTTGGTAGGGAGAGAAAAGAAAATGCTATGGCCTTTTAGTTTAACTGGGGAGCTAGTTTACTTGGAAATGCCTGCAGTATCTTTGCTGCACAGACTGGGGAAAGGCGTCCTCAGAGCTGCCCGGGAGCCCTGTGGGCCGAGCAGAGGTAGCTTTCTCCTCCACCCACCTTCCCAGAACTCTCAGGAAGGTGGACTTGGTTCCAAGTCGCTTGATGGACCTTGACGACTGGGGCCAGCGTAGGGAGGATTCCAGGTGGAGCTTGGCAGTGTGATTTCTGTAACTTTTGCTCCAATGGCCAAAAAAGACAGGCTTACCTTAGAGGATTCTCTTTTAACTCTACTCGTCTCTTGTTGAAGCTTCTGAAAAGATTGCTGTTGAGGAGAGAGATGAAGAAAAGCGGTGTGTGCTGTTCTTCCCCCATCCAGGGAGAGTGAGGGGCGCAGCACAGGTGCTCTTCTTCCCCCACCGGCTGGTGCTTGGGGGTGAGCCTGGGGGTGGGGGCGAGTCCACGTGTTTGGGTATTCGGAATATTTTTTAACTAAGTATGTATCTGTTTTTAAATATAGACATGGTTCTGTCTGTGTAAGTGGGGAAGCATGGATATACAGAAATGGGAGTGAACAAATAATTCCAGAAAAAGAAGAAAAGTGCCTAGAACAGGAGGGACTGAGCCCTCTCCGGTCACAGTAAGCAGACAGACAGAGGGTCCAGCAGTGTGTGACAATGTGAGGGATTTACACACCATCCTGGCGGGGAGCTGACAGGCTCTCTCTGTTCCCTCTCTCCTGACGGATGAAACCTCGGAAGAACCCACTGATTAGGAGGCGTCATGGAGGCCTAAGGAACAATAATAAAACAGTCAACAGGAGTGCAGTGTTTCTTATGTTCCGGACACTGTTATGAATGCTTTACCTGCATCCACTCATTTAGTGCTGACAGCAAGCCTATAAAAGAGGAACTAGCATTCTCCTCACTTACAGCAGTAGGAACCGAGACAGAGAAGGGAGACACTTGGCTTAAGTTAAGGTTGTCCAAGACCAGAGTCCATGCTATTAATGACTGAATGTTAAATAGGAAGAAACAAATTAAGGCAACAGTGAGTCAAGGTAGGAAATGCTGCAGCCCAGATTTGTGGGACGTCAGACCAGGGGGTGGGGAGCCCTGCTGGAGGAGCTGGGGAGGGTGTCAAGGGCAGCCAGCAGGGGAAGGCTTCTCTTTGTATCTTATCAGAGCCACAAGGCCCAAGTCATCAAGTCCCCACCCTACCCCAGCTGCTACGGCAAGAGCTCCCTAGTGGGCATCAAGGGAAGGAATTCCCTGCCCTGTGGATCCCGGCTGGATCCCAGGCTGACTTCAGGTGGTGAGAGGGAGACGTGGCCTCTGCTGGTGCCGGATTTGGGGTCTCAGGGCTGACTGCTCATAGTGCAAGTTAGAGACATGTCCAGTGGGAGGATGAGCTGCCCGCTTTGTGGCTGCTGTTGACGGGGAGATACCAAATTGGTAACGGAATTGCCTCCCAGCCACCCGTGGGCCTGGGAGGAGAACTCAGTGGGCTCCCCAGTGACGGACACTCAACCTCAGAACAGTGTCTCCAGCATGACCCAGGGAAGGGTTATCACTGGGCTTTTGCCGTCTCGCCTCACCAAGGAGGAAGTGTGCTGCTGGAGAGGTTCGTGTTGCTCACAGCTGTGCAGCTGGCACATGCAGAGCCAGCTCCATCCAGCCATGGCCTCGTCCTCGGGCCCCGGGCTCCACCAGAGACTCCGTGCTGAGACCCAGCTAGTTCTTTTGGTGTGGAATCACACCGCCTCCCCATTTCTAATTCAGCTTGGGTGTATTGAATGCCCCAACCTCAGCTCAAAGGTATTTGATGTTTCCCATGCAGTGCGATTGAACATAGGTGCTACTGAAATGATCTGGGCAGAAATGACTCATGGCTCACTTTTGTCTATGGATGGCAGAGGTGGTGCTTCAGGACCGAGTGAGTGAAATCAAAGGTGCGAACGTCGTAGCTATTGGCTCACAGCCAGTAAACACCTTCATGGCCACCCCATGCCAGAAGGTTCTGCAGCCCCCACTGCTCCCAGATGGACATATAGGTCACATCAAACTTAGCTCTTGTGATACCCTGCCCTTGGAGGACTTTGGGGGGACCAAAGAAGGGGCTTGGGGATTCTTGGGGCATAATGAAAACAAAAGCTACACGTTACTGAATGCTTTCTGCTTGCCAGGTACTTGGCCTGAATAATCTCATGGAATTGGTGCCCCAGCCTTAGGAAGGGAGGGGTGTTGCTAAACCCACTTCAGACATGAGGGGACTAAGCTTCAGTAGACGATGTCACTGGTCTGAGTCATGTGACCCCAGTACCTCAGAGGGTAGCCGTTAGGACTCCTATCCCTGCCCCGGGCATTACATTAGGTTACACACATCTGCTGCAAGGGATTGAGTTTGGAATCAGACTCACCTTCTGTGGTCTAATGGGAAACCTGGGTCGGCCCTGTTCCTCAGGCTCCTAACCTGTGGCCCCTGAGGCCGTGGGAGTCCTGAGGACGGAGCTCGCTCAGCTCCAGGAGGAAGGAAGCACCTCATCACTTCCCCAGATGAAGCGTCCCACCTCCTTGCCTCCAAATGGATTTGGAAGAACTCGTGAGTTTGGCCCAGGATTAAGGGTCTGAGGGATAGGAAGCAGTGTTCATAATTTCAGGTCTGCTCAGGGATTCCCTCTGTGGGAGGAATATATCTTTAAATACCAGATCTGAGTGGATGGGCTGGAATCTTCAAGATCTTTCTGTATCGAGAAAAGGAGTTTGTGAACTACAATGAGAACGGGAGCTGGATGTACAGGATTATTATTGCAGGTGGTTTCCCTCAAAGGGCAATGTAATTAATGCACAGTAGGGCATTCAGCCAAAGGTGTCTCCTCTAGAATTTGCCTCTAGTTTAGACCTAAAATTAAGACAAGTAGCCCCTAAGTTTTCTTTCCAAATGGTGGTACGGAGTTTGGAAGTGAAATTGTCTTTGGAGAGAGATCATTTTATATGTTAATGCAATCTCTCTACAGCCACGGAGAATGAGACCCAGGTTTTCCCAAGGTCATTCATTGATTGACAAGACTAAGACTTGGACCCATGTCTCTTAAGCCCTTTTCCAAATCATGATCCCTCTTCTCAGAAGAAAGAGGATGTGGTGTTGAGGCTGTTATAACAGTCTTAAAGAATGATGTTTAGGATCTCATGGGTGGGCATTTAAACATCCAATTCCTTGCTTCCATGAGAGCAAGGAAATAGAAACATCCACTGTGGCAAAACTTTCCAAAATACTGTGTACATCGTGCCTTACAAAGTAGAGTTTAATGAGCACACCGAACATTTTCCATGATTCAAGATGCTGCAATATCTCAAAGTCCTCATCCTAGATATCTCTATACGTAGCTTCTAGACAAAAGCTAGTTTGACTTTTTTAGTGGATTTTTTTTGTCACTTGAGCTTTTATGTGTGTAAAAGTAGAAAGTAAAACGTCTGGTTAACTGAGAAGTCTGGGTTAGCTGAATTCTGGTTAGTTGAGGTCTTTTTTTTTTACTACATGGCCTGCTCTGCCTTTGTCTTCCCAGCCTCCTCAAGCAAGTTGTGAAGAGTATTTAATGGCTTATAAACTTCTTGAAATTTATAAAAATACTGTGCATTCTCCCTAGCCTAGAGCACGTTCCTTGTAACTCAAACAGAAAAAAGATAGAACACCCGAGTGATTGACACCCGGCCTAGAATATGAATCTACCTGACCTTCCTGTTGCTTCTCATGTTTTGTCAGGTTCTAAGAGGCTAAAGGAATCAGGGCTTTGACCTCTTCTCAGGCCACGTCTGCTGGGGTGCCAAATGTTGCTGGCCCTGCCTGGAAGGAGAAGGGAGAGCTGCCTAGCATAGCTTCAGTTTTTCACATCCCCAAACGGACAGCCATTCTGGCAGGGCAATCAGACAGCCATCTCTCTCCCTCTGAGGCAACTAGGTTACTGACTCTGCATTGGTGGTGCTGCCCCTGGCTGTCTGGGTCACCCTCTGTGAGTCTGGTGATTGCCTCATAAATTGGGGTTTCTGTCTTCATTCCTTTAATCGAAGACAATAGCAGAAATTAAATGTGTACTTAATAAAATCAGCCTTTTCTTATTGGGCTCTGGGAAACAAGTCTTCCCAAGATGTCTGTTGTTTTTTTTTCTGGGCTCATTTTCAGGGAAGGCATTGAGCATCTTGAAGCCAGCCAAAGGGAAGGAGGATCACGTTAAAGTCTATCAGCGTGACAGGGAAGGCCAGAGACCAAGGCAGAGCCGCGTCACCTGGAACACACAGAAGGCTTCCAGGGGCTCCAGATGGGTCCCCGCTCAGGCCGTCCACCGTCAGGACCAACACTACCTTCTGCAGGATGGCCTCTCTCTCGCTCATTCCCAACCACCAGTGGCTCCCTGTGCCTGCCTGTGGCCCCAGCTCCCGCTCAATTTTGACTTCTGTAGTTCTAGGTTTACTTCATGACTCTTAAGAAGTAATTTCTTCTGTCAATAGGAAATTCTTCTCTGGTTCATGGTTCATATTTGAGAGAGAGAGAGAGAGAGAATATAATTGGTTCAGCTCTTTGTCCTCCCTTTTTCTTTTGAAAACATGGGTCACAGGTCACTGGAAAGGTACCAGTTGGTTCTTTTTGTGGGTCCGTCACCAGCCCCTGGTCCAGTGGGCTGTGTGGGAGAAGCCTGGGTGGCGAGGAATGGTTGAAAAATAGCCCATCTGATCACCAAGGCCTTTCCGTGGGTTGGTTTGCTCTTACATAGAGCACGGTCTAAGTAGGCCCCAAGGACCCACTGATACAGCCGGCATTCGTGGGCATGTGTGAGTGTTTTTAGAAGAGCCATAAGCTATCTGTAAACTATCCTTTCCATGGGAGACTAGAAAAAACTTGGAGGAGGTGAGAAACATGTCTTGAGCTCCAACAGTCCAACATACATTTTTCAATCCCAGGACAAAGCCATGGCTGTCCTGGCTGTTGCAGACTCGGATGAGAGACACCCCCGCAGCCTCCAGGCCTTCCCTGGGCTCCCAGCTTCACGCCCAACTCTGGAACCCAAACCCTCTGCCTTCTGCACTATCGCACCAGCGCACGTGCACACATACAGGAGCGTGCCAGGAGGCAGGAGCAAGAATACGGTGGGTGTTGGAGAAGATGTGAAGCTGCCTAGCAGTCTTGATGAGCCGTCTCTGGATGCCCCTCTCTCATTGGCCTGAACCAAGAAGCCAGGAACAGCTCCTGCCCTTTCAGACAGAAGTGCCTACAGAGCTGCTATTGTTTCCCTCAGGTAACAAATGCCACAGGCCTGGGCCCGCCAAGCCATCCTGGAGCCCAGCTGCTTCCGCGCCATTAAATGAGAAGGGTGCTTTGTTTTAATTGTCACGTTTGTTGTTTGGAAGGATGCTTTTTGACCACGTAGTTGTCTGGGTGACCTTTCATAAGAATTGCATGCAAATGTCCCAGCGGAAGGCTGTGATTGGTCTGGAAAGGTTATCTCCATTCGTCTAGACTGCTGCTTCACAAAGCAGAAGGTTCAGGCAGGGCACTGGGGCTGGGCGCAGCAGAGGGGAAAGTCTCCCCCATCTCCGCAATGGAGGCCCTGAGCAGGTGCAGGCACTGCTTCTATTTGCTTCTGGCCTCCCGCGTTTTACCTCCGCCTGGAATAACCCTCTGGCTGAGGTGCCACCCTGAGCTTTCCTGTTTCCTCTGAACAGGCTCTCTTTGAGCAGACGTAATGCACCCTCCAACGGCCCTGAAATAAACCACGCAGAGGAATCACCTTTCTGAGCTACTGAGGCTCTGTTAACAGGTTCTTAAAGGGTTTGTGGAGGGGACAGCATATTGATGCTTCATCCACCAAACAGCTCTATTTAAATAACTGCCCTTTCGGAGCCAAAAGAAAAAAAAAATTCTCTCTGGAAACTCAGCTGAGATTAATGTGTTCCTTATTACCACGGAGCAATCTGATAACCCTTATCCCCAATCTCAGGCTGGCAACTGGAGAGATGGATTTTAAATGAAACATACTCAGATTTAAGCTGCCGAAGAAAAAGCATGCTGATTTATGCACGCGGGGTGGATTTCTTGCCCCCGCCGCTCTCCAACTCAGTCACTCCCAGCCAGATCAGGCTGTTTACTTTCCTTCTAGGTGGAGGCCTTGAGGCAGCAGAATTAACCTTAGAGGTTGCACAGGGTGGGGTAGGAGAGAGAAGGCAGTGAGCATGAAGGCAGCGGGCCGGGCTGGCAGGGAAGGTTCAAGAGGCGTGAGGGGATTGCAGTGGAGGGGTCTGACGTCCTAATAAATCATGTCAGCTGTTGACTGGGGATTCTCAACAAACAGCTGCATGTGCAAGCAGTGGCCCAGTCCTTGGGGAAGCAGGTGGTGGCGGCGCAGAGGCCAGCCTGCCTCAGCCTGCCTCCATTAGCTGTAATTATGCTTCTGACTTCTGCCGGGGGCAGCGAGCAGCCTTCAAGGCCTGCCGTGACTACCAGAGGCCCACACTGTTAGCCGGTGGTCAGTCAGCTG